GATTGTATGTTCAAGTAACTTCCTCACTATATGATTCACTTCTTGGCATCTACTCCTGGCATTAAAACTCTATTCAGCAAAGACTCTTGTGCTTCTAGGTTAATTGAAGCACTACTCAACAATAGTCAAAAGCTGAAGACAACTGAAGACACCCCAAGTGTCCAAAAACAGATGACTGAATAAAAAAACTGTAATGTTTATAGATAATGAAATACTACTCAGTTTAGGAAAAAAATGAAATCATGCAATTTTCTGCTATGTAGATGAAACTGAGCATATCGTACTGAGTGAAGTAAGTCAGAAGTAGAGGAATAGATGCAAGATTGCCTCTTTTCTGCCTGGGATATAAAGAGACATAGGAAGGGAATAATAAATGGTCGAAGGTAATAGCGCCTGAGAACTGATCTACAGAATTCAGCTTACCCTAATGGGGACAATATAAGAGAGGACTATAGGTCGAACAAGGGGGACACTCTGGTGGAGTGTAGTGATGAAAAACTGTGTGCTCCTATCATTAACAGTATTGCAAATCATGGTGTCTAAATTAAAAAATAAAAATAAATAAAGTCTTTAATTAAGTAAGATCCATACGTTCCCTTTAATAATGCAAAAAGATTGAAATCAACTCATAAAACATAAAAAATTCATACTAAATGAAGAAGAGACTGCCATCCATAGATTTTAATGAATTCCATCATAAAATGTTTCTATTTCTGAGATGAAAAATTGCTGGTGAGAATGTAGACTATAAGTAATGACAATCCAACTTTCTTTCTAGTAAATGCAGCACATAAAACACCACATATACTGGCAAAATAACTGATCTATATGAAGCAAACAAAGAGTAATTATCCACTCTAACTAATCAATCACTGAAATTCTTTCCATATAGAAAATAACTCTAAGAGCTCTTTTTGGGTGGCATATAAATTATCTCTTAAGGCAACACAAATCTATTATTTTATAGCTCTATATACTAGAAGTTTACCAATGATCTTACTAAATAAATCAAGAGATTAATGAAATAATATTCCTATCTAGAAGTTCTAATATAAAGTGTTTTTCTTTGTCTTCTCTGACTTGTCAAAGCTGCCTGTATTCTTTCTCGTTTCTAAATCAAAGCCAGCAGCAGAATCATTTTCCATATTGTCACATCACTGTGACTTTCTCTTCTGCTCTTCTTCCCTTCAATAATTTTGGAAATACAATAACTGGACCAACTCTGCACTGCACTGTCCTCCCATTGTTCATCAATTTGCTCAAGCAGGCCCAGAAACATCTCCATTGTAAGAATTCTTGTTACTGTGTTTGGCACATTGAATATGTCACGGGTAACTTGCTAGGCTTTGCCATGCGGGCGAGATACTCTCAGTAGCTTACCGGGCTCTTCGAGAGGGTGGAAGAATCAAACCTGGCTACCCATGACATATTCATTATCCCAAACACAGTAGCAACAAGTCTCACAATGGAGACATTACTGGGTCCGCTCGAGCAAACTGGCAAACTCAAATAATCTAAAATACTCTCCCTGTTTTAGGATGAGTTGATTAGGAATCCTTTATTACATCCACTACCTTAATTTCTTTTTGAAATAAGAACGAATTAGGAATGAAATAATGTTCCTATCTAGAAGCTCTAAGAGCTTCTGGCTATAGCCACAAATTTTGGGAATTTGTATATAGCTAAGTGGATTGAAATGGCAACAATATAATCTCCATAATCTCCAAGAAAAGTCATTTCTGAGTTTTACCTTTAATCCATGAGAACAAATAATATTTTGTAGCTCACAATCACAGCAATTCTAAAACAGTGAAATTTTTGGACAATATTTGAATAGGCAGGGCAGTTGTTTCCGTTTTATTGAATAGGAGCATAGGCAACGCTATCACAACAAGAAATATGTGACCAAAGCCATTCCTGTTTACACTAGGCAGTGAAAATTAATTATCTCTATTGTCAGGCTTTTTCAAATACAGAAAGAAATTGGATATCAAAATTCAGTACCCATATTAGGTCAAGTCATATAAGGCTGTTCTCAGCAAGTTATATAAGGCTGTTCTCACATATATCCACTTAAAAATCTTCTTACATATAGAACTTGGCTATATTTCCAAAAGAACAATTCTGCTGAATTATCAACAATACTTAATGTATTTATAATGAGTTATAGTGAAGATTTTAATAGTGTGGTTGGTACCTGGGAGCACAAAAAGATAATGGGGTAACAATTTCTCTTAATTGTACCATCTAAAGAAAATAATTGTTGACATTTCAAGCTTAACTGATATATTACTAATAAAAATACAGTTTTAAAAATTCGTTATAAAATTTTAATTGTATCAGATTTCACATCCAAACAATACTGTAAAAAATTATAGTTAACTATAATTATAAGTATAGTTAAATTATAGTTAAGTAAGTGCATTGTCTATATGAGTGTAAAGAGATTTAGTGGTCTGGAGCTCAGAGAGGTTACAGAAAGCAATAGAAGAATCCAAGTGTTCTCTGAGCCTCTGTTACCATGTCCAACATGTCTAGCCACTATCCAATTCCAGCAAACTATTGGCTCATTTTTTCTCTGACATTTTCATAATTCATAAAATCTAATTTCATTATGAAATTTATCAAATTTTTATGTTGGTGGCCTAATAATATATTGCAATCCCTTGGCAATGGAATAAAATATGGGCAATCAAAAAAATTGAGCTTCTCAAACTATAGATGACACCTTTGGATCTAAATGAACCAATACTTAACAATAATATTGTACTTTTAAAATGCAATTGTCTAATACAATTTAATATTCCAACTAATTGGGTCTGAACATTATCAAAAGCAAGAAGAAAAAGAATGTTTTGATGTGGTTGAAATAAAGATCCCAATAATTGAGGTGTTCTTTGTTTGATTATGCTTAATTTCACTTTTTTGTTGTGCTTCCAGCACATACATGTTAATAATATGTTCAAAGTAAAGACTGTTGAATGAACTTTAAAGAAAATTTCAGTAACTTTAAAAGCTATTCAAACTTTCAAACATAAAAGGTAGCAACTTATACTTAAATTTTGGGTAGGTTTAGGAAATTAGAACCCTTGATATTTTCCATATTACTTGTCCATCTATATACTTTTCTTTCTTATGACAATTACACATTATGAGGCAGTGATCAATGGGGTATTTTATAATATGATAGAGAAAATGAGATTTAATTTAAGACAATTTGCTCGAGCGGGCCCAGTAATGTCTCCATTGGAGACTTTGTTGTTACTGTGTCTGGCATATCGAATACTCTCGGTAGCTTGCCGGGCTCTCCGAGAGGGGCGGAGGAATCGAACTCGGGTCGGCCATGTTGGCCGCTTGTAAGGCGAACGCCCTACCCGCTGTGCTAGTAGTAGAGACCACAACGAGGTATGTGAATTAAAGTGCTTTTTGTTCAAAGTACTTTCAATATGTGATTTTTCATCAGACTATCTAAGATATATAAATATTATTTTCATTTTAAAAATAGAGACATTGGGCTACAAAAGAAGTTAGCTGCTTTTTTTAAGGTTTGCAGAAAAATTAACAAAAGAAACTAATTTTCTGGCTCAGTTCATGACCGGTTCTTTCTGCAACAACAGGGAGGCAGAGAGAAGATGTGATGGTACAGAATTAAATCTTAAAAGTTAAGTTCGCAGAAGTACTTAAATAAACTAGGTAAATGTGCAGTAAGTAAAGAAATGATACACATTGTGGCATAGAGAGGAAAAAAGAAAAAGGAAGAAAAGTGTAATATTTTTTTCAAAAAGGTGTTGTAGACATCAAAGTATCTTATTATTAGACACTCTTTACATAATTGATTTCTCATCCAGCAAAATGAGGACCATCAAACTGACCTGTGTTAGGTTACATGGAGCTATGTTGCTCTGAGATATTTTCATTTCCAATGAAATTGGAAACTGTCTTTCTCACTAAAACTTCCTCACTAAAACTTCACATGGGGAAGGGCTAAAATAAAAGTTCTGCAGCACTCTGTTTACCTTGAAGGAACTCACTGAAGTATTTTATTGATCGGCGTTAACTGTACATGTAACTGCACATGTGGTCATTGGTCAGAATATAATAGCATAGTATAATAGCTAATATGGGACTTTCATATGCAAAAATATTCTTTGTCATGAACTGGCAATGCAACTTTGGATAAGTTTCTCCACCTCACTGGTGATGGGAAGGGTGTAAAAACACTGTGTGGCTGAAACACAATCATGAACATTGTAAATGTTGTAAATGTGTACCTCATGGTGATTGAAAATAAAAATAGAGTTTCACCACCTCCAAAGGTCACATTGTCATGTTTGAAAAAAATGAAGGTAGGGGTTGGGAAAGAAAACAGTGATAAGATTTATTCCATAACTTAGTAATGAGGATTCAATTAATTAATGATAGTAAAAGACTGGTTGAATGTCTGGACCCTATTTCACACTCAGTATATTTTTTCACTATTTCAACATATTAAAATGTCATGTTTGGTCTATCACCAGAGCTGTGTGCTGATCCACACAAGTTTGGAAATATAAGTATTTCCAAAAACATATAGTGGTCCTCAAAATATAAAATGCGATGCTAAAAAGAAAGTGTTTTAAAAGTGACCCATAATATAATTTTAAAACAAACATTTCATTTAGCCCACATCCATATTGGCTAAGTAATGGAAAATATAAACCCTGTGTTACTACAGCTACAAACAACAAATACAAGTTTTACTGATACTCAAAATTAACAGGAAAACAATCACAGAGCAAGTGTTCACATGAAAATTTACATCAATTTAAAAATGACTTGCTACCCAAATAAAGTAACAAACTGCTTCAATAACTTCTGTATATTAGTCATTCATAGTGCCTAAAAATACGTTTGCAAAGCTTTTACCCTGAATTTTCAGCTTCGAGGCACAAGCAGAAAAATAGCAGCCAAGCTTCTCCCACACCTACATCCTCACAGACTACAAAGCCACAGCTGATGCTTCAAAGAACATCCTCGGTTTCTGCTTTGCTTCCTTCCAGGTTGGGGTTTAATTCCGATGATCTAGAAGATCCGTCCATTTGTATCTCATCTCCTTCCCTTCCGGTGCTTTGCTTAGTCTCCTCCTGGGTCAATTGCGGCAGGGAGTCCTGCTCTGAGTTACTCCAGACGTAGCCGGGTAAGGTCACGTGACAGTCAGGGGGCCTGCAGACTGTCTTGGTGGTTTTGCTGGAGATGAGCACCACACTGGTGCTCTGAGTCGCAGTGGTGAGCACTGAACCATACCTATGGCCGACGCATGGGGGCGCGCTTTTCCAGTCGAGGGAAAGATTCCACCTACTCCACAACTTCTTCATCTCGGACTGAACCTAAAGGGTAAGAACCATGAGGTGTAACAGAAACTGTCAGGGAATGTTTGACCTGATTTCAATAATAGTGATAATCACCCATTGAGGTTTTATTTGGGGGTCAAGACATTTACAATACATATTTCTCTAGCACTTCAAAGATGTTACTGGACCTGATCAGATGGGGGCTTCATGCAAAGGCATTTGTCCAGCTTAGTAATTTAATAGAAGGTACAATTCTTTATTAACATTTTTTTCGTGTAGCTAATAGAAATAGCCATCCCGGTGGAAGAGGTTAGAATCACTCCAGACGGAAGGTTACGAAATGCACGGTACCCAGCTTGAAACGTGACTGCCACTCTACCAGTTTGCACAGACACACTGAAGCGAGGGAAAAATGAGGAAAGAGAACCAGAGATGCAAAAGGAGGCCCTGCCCCTTCATCCTTAATTGTGTGGGACTCTTGTTCCCATTATAGCAACTGAAGATTCTGTTCTATAGCGCCATTGCCCATCGCCAGAAGGGAGCTTATTTGGAAGTGCCATGGAAACAGTGAAAACCTGCTGGGCTGATCTCACTAAAGGGTTAACTCTCCAGCCAAACCACAAGATGGTTCCATCCACTATCTTACAGTGTCAGAAAGATCAAAATATTCAAAGGTAAACAAAAAGGATTTCATTCAGCAAGCAGGTGATGGAGAGGAGCCTTTGGCAGTATAGTGTGGTCTCTACAGAGGTTGAATATGAAGCTGCATAGGTGAAACTTACACCGTCTTGCAGACCAGTGCTGTCTCCATTTTTGAAAAGTTAGGGGCCAGAGATAGTACAGGGGTTAAGATGCTTGTGTTGCTCATTCTATCCCTGAAACCACATATGGTTCCCTGAGAGCAAGCAGGAGTCACTCATAAGCATAGATAAGGAGTAAGGCTGAGTACTGCTAGATGAGTACCATATGCTCCCAAAAATTTTTAATGAACTAGCTCAACTTTCCCCAAAGAGACAGTTATTTCGTGTTCTCTATAAAACTTAAAACTGGTATATATGTAAGCATTAACTGTCTTTTCCAAGTATCAAGTCTCATTCCACAAGCTTTTGTTTTAATATCAGGGTCACTGTCCACTGTCATTGTCACTGTCCTCCTGTTGTTCATCGATTTGCTCCAGCGAGCCCAGTGACGTCTCTATTGTGAGACTTGTTGTTACTGTGTTTGGCATATAGAATACATCACGGAGAGCTTGCCAGGCTTTGCCAAGCAGATGAGATACTCTTGGTAGCTTGACAGGCTCTCCGAGAGGGGCAAAGGAATTGAACCCGGGTCGGTTGGGTCGGCCGCGCACAAGGCAAATGCCTTACCCCTGTGCTATCAGGGTATGCAACTGAATTAATATTTTAAAATATAAAAAAGGGACTGGAAAAAATAGGGTGAAAAGGGTGTTTGCTTTGCAAATGACCAACCAGGTTTTTTCATTGGCATCTCATATGGTGCTCTAAGCCCACATAGGACTGATTCCTGAGAACGCAGTCAGGAGTAAGTCCTAAGCACAGCCAGACATGCCCTCCACCGATAATAAAACAAAAAATAATAATAAAAACGATAAAGGAGGGCCAGAGATGTATCTCAGTGGTATAATGCTTACTTTGTATTTTGGATTGAATCTTAGCATCACAAAATAATTTATCGTATTCTTGCTTTCTCAAAATTATTCATGATTAAGATATCTCCTTTTTCTCAGTCCATTCTTGCCTGTATAGTAAGTCCTGAGGATTCTATAAAGAGGAGTTACCATGTGACGCTGGTGATTTCCAAGTGTATTCAGAACTAGACCTATTTCTCAACCTACCTCTCCATTGCAGTAGCAGTAGATGATTGACACAAAGAAACCCTGAAGAACAACAACAAATATTAGTGTGATGACAATCCACAGAGATCACAGCACTGAAGTGTCAAAATGAGTCTTTCTGGAAATTTTACAAATAACTCTTCTGATGTTTTCATATCTTTAAGTTTAATTTCATATTTATCTGAAACCTTTGCTGAGTGTCAACTCAACCAAACAAGTAACACACAAGAAAAAATTTCTATCATATTTGCGTCATTTATATTTCCATGTACGATCTAGAAAGAAAGGAAGAAGAATAAAAATATGCATAGCCCTCCAACAAAAAGGTAAAATAAGAACTGGGCCAGTAATCAGTAACATACATCATGATAAAGAGAAAAATAAAAAATAAAAATGAAAAAACTGGGAAACTCAATGAACTGCACTCTAACAGGGGGCAATTTAAACTGATGTGAGGAGCAGGAGAAAGCTAGCTATGTGGAAAGAACTTTCCAGGCAAAAGGGAACAGCAAAACTTAACCCTTTAGGCAGAAATAAACTTAAGTAACAGGATGAAGAGAAGTATTTAAACTTAGTGGACACTGGAGAGCAGGGACCACTGATACACAGAGCTGACCAGGCCAGGGGAAATGTTAGGGTTTTAAGATGCCCAAATAAATAAATTGGGAAGCCCCCCTAGATACTTCTGGCAGGTAAATGACATGATAAAATTTACTTTGAAGACACCTCAAACTAAGTATAGAAACTGGACTTAAGGTCCCAGGAGTTGGCAGCAATGAGTGTGCAGAAAGAAGGAAAATGGGCTCCTATAGGAATTCACCTGAGGGCCAATGGCAAATGTATTATTTTCAAATGCAGTAAGAAGTGTGAAGTCAACAGCTTCTTTTTAGTCATTTCTTCTCTTTTTTGCCTTTCCTTTTATATGCTTCTGTTTTCTTTTTATATATGTGTGTGCGCATGCACATACACACACACACACACACACACGTGTGTGCACAGGTCTCCACTCTGAAGGAGTTTTCTGTTTTACTATATACTTACATGTTAAATATATACAAATCATGTATACATGAGTATGTACATAATCTATATGATATATTTTTAATACACTTCATAATACACTTTCATTATGTATATTGGTTAGAGGGTGACATATGGTTAGAGGCTAGTGAGAGATGGAAAAGAGAGTGACTGAGAATAACATGTGTGGCTCTCAGGAGACAGGAAGCATGAAAGCCAGAGAAAGGGGCACCAGGAGGGAAAAAAATCAAGAGAGGAAGCAGATTCTCGAGGGCTCCTGCTACCTGAAAGGAGTTGAAGAAGAGCTCACAGTGCATCCGGATCTCCCATCCAAGCCCAGAGAAGGAGTGGGGCAGGCACACGAATACAATGTAGTGAACTCCAAAGACCAGCACCAGCACCAGCGTGGATTTGGCAAGCTTCCTGCAAAAGAAGGGCAAACCTTTCTGTTAGACATGTTAGAAGAGACTGCGGGAAAGACAAAGCTTTTCTGGAGGCTGACTTTTTTCTCATCCTTTTGCATCCCACCGTTTCTGCCAGCTTCCCATGCCCTCATCCTGTTGTTTTTAGGCTGAATCAGGTCATTGGTTCTCACTTCCCATTCCCTGAAAAGCTCTAATTTCATTTCTGGTCTTCAAGGATGCTATTTTTTTAAGTTGTGAGATGACCTAGTTTACTGTCCTCAGTCTTCTTCTTTAAGTGTCTGTCTGAAACTATTAGAAGCATTTCCTTTATCCACGTGAACTCTTTTTACTTTAATGGGCCACAGCTTAGCTTATTTCATTCATTCTAAAATTGAAAACCCAGAAGTATACTTTCACTTATATGGTAGTTAATTTATGACAAAAGAGTCAAAACTCTATTATGGAGAAAGAAAAGTCTCATCACCTAATTGTATTGGGGAAACTGAGTAACTGCATGCAGAAAAAGAATTGCATCACTATCTCACAAAACTCATGAAAAATCAGCTCTGGAGGATGGAGTAAAGACCTAGTTGATAGACCTGAAAGCCACAAAATACATCTAAAAAAAGAAAAGTAAAATACTCCTTGAGATTGACTGCCACAGTGTCTTCAGTGACTCAGCTGGCTCAACAAGGAAAACAACAGAAAAATAAACAAACGGGTCCCATCTGCTACTACACAGTGACAGAAACTATCATTAAAGCATTAAATCCTACTGAAGAGGAAAAAACATTTGCACTTCATATATCTGACAAGAGGCTAATATCCAAACTACGTAAAGGACTCAGGAAACTCAACAACCAAAAACAATTCCATTAAAAATTGGACATAAAAACTGAAAAAAAGTCTTCATCACAGGAGATGACAGATGGCCAGTAGGCACAGGGAAACAATATTCATTATCATTAGCTAATGGAGAAATGCAAATAAAACTGACAACGAGATATCTCCTCACCCTTGGAATAACAGTATAGACCCCCCCAAAAGCCAGAAACAATAAGTTTTGGTGGGAGTATGGGGGAAAGGACTATCATACAATGTTGGTAGGCACATAAGTCAGTTCAAACTTTATGGAAATCAGTATAGAGGGTTCTCCAAAAACTTTGTAAATCACAGTGCTTAAATAAAATGGGGAGATAAAAATAAAATTTAAAAAGATGTGAACACCTATATTCACCTCAGCACTATTTGCAATAACCAAGAGTTGGAAACAATCAAATGCCCCACAACAGATGAGTTGGATAATACAAGAGATATGTGTATGTACATAATGAACTAAAGCTATCAAAAAAAGATAAAATCTTGTCTGTTGCTACAACGTGGATTAAACTGGAGGGGGTTGTGCTAAGTGAAATAAATCTGAAGGAAAAATACACATAATGATGGCTGGAGCAATAGCATAGTGGGTAGGGTGTTTTCCTTGCATGTGGCTGACCTGGGTTCGAATCCCAGCATTCCATATGGTCAGGGGAGTGCAGAGCCAGGAGTGACCCCTGTGCATCTCCAGATGTGACCCAAAAAAGGTAAATGTAAAAGGTAAAGGCCCTCCTGTTGATCGTCGATTTGCTCGAGCAGGCCCAGTAACGTCTCCATTGGAGACTTTTGTTGTTACTGTGTCTGGCATATCGAATACTCTCGGTAGCTTGCTGGGCTCTCCGAGAGGGGCGGAGGAATCCAACTCAGGTCGGCCATGTTGGCCGCTTGTAAGGCGAATGCCAAAAAATATACACATAGTGGATAATCTACCATATGTGATTTATAAACAAAACAGGGGATAAAGCATTGTCCAATCAAAACAAACTCTGAGACTCTGGCCTCAAAGCTGAGGTGATGAGTGAGCTGGAAGGGATTATATTGACTATGCTGGAGAAACATTGAAACTTCGGTGGTAGACATGGTATGGTAACATACCTCTTAAACATTTACATTTTTTAAATGAACATACTTCAATAAATAATATAATTTCAAACAGATTTGATAAATTTAACCAAGCCCAAAAAATAACAAACTATTCTCTTTCCCTTTGTACACTTTATCTATTGTTATGAGCCCCAAGAAGTTAACATTTCTTGCTTTTCCTAAATCATCTGTCAGATTATTTTCCTCAAATTTTTTATGGGATCTCTTGGCGCTTTGTCTTTTCTAGTTTTTCAAACTAAAGAAAATTGACCTTCTTTCCGATAGCTGTCTCTTCGTACACAAGAGTTGCTATTGTGCACTTGGAGGAGGATTCCTGAATTTCCAATATTTTGAAATCCTGAATTTCTCAGTATTGTGCACTTACTCTAAACTGGTCCCCACCTCTTGGTATTTACATATTTGTTAATCCTCTTTCCCTGGGTGTAGAAATGATCTGGACTTGTTTTTACCTGATAGATTATAGCCAAAATGTCTGGACATCATTTCTGTAACTATATGACATAAGGTCGTGACTTTCATCTAATGCTCAGACATTCAACTGTATTAGATTCCATGATAAAAGTTGCCATGTTGTGGGTTGAGCTGCTCTGCTGAGAGGTCCACATAACAAAGATGGGCAGCATCGAACAACAGCCAATGAAAAACCAGATCCTGTGGACAATCACATGAGCTTGGATGTGGATACGTTAAATACCAACCTTAATATAAGACCGTGGCCCTGATGGACATCTTTCCAGTATTGTTAAAGATCCTTAAACACAGGACCCAGGTTCCCTGCTTTGATTCTTGACCTATAGGAAAGTGAGCTAAGTAATGTTTTTTGTCCTAACTCATAAGTTTTGGATCTATTTGGGGGGGGTGGGGCAGGGAAAGGGTCTCTTTATAAAGAGAAGACTGTTAAATCATCTTATGTTATTTCTCAAATATCTCTTTGCATAAATAACTTACATTCTGTAAACCCAGACAATTGCAACCTTTCTTCCTTCCTCACTGGACTTTTGTTCTACTTTTTAAACTTATTTAACATATTTTTAATTTTTGTAAATAGTGTGAATGCATAGAGGTCACACTGGATGAAGACTAAAGAAAATTGGACTCATTTCCAGCCAGCCCGACCGAGCCGGGTTTGATTCCTCCGTCCCTCTCGAAGAGCCCGGCAAGCTACCTAAAGTATCTCGCCTGCACTGCAAAGCCTGGCAAGCTACCCCTGACGTATTCAATATGCCAAACACAGTAGCAACAAGTTTTAAAATGGAGACATTACTGGGCCCACTGGAGCAAATAGATGAACAACGGGAGGACAGTTCTAAAGTGCTATTGTAAGAGAATAGGAGAACTTGAAATTGTAAGGGATCATCACCCATACATAGCCACTTTCCTTTCATAACCTTCATTTAAGTTCTAATAGGATCAAAAGTTGCCCACATCCTGAAATGAAAATTTTAGGCATCTGAAGTTGCATATTTGCTCCTTCTCATTCTTCACTGGCTTTCTGATCCATCATGATTTCTCAGACCATCATGACCTTCTCTCCACTCAGGAAAATCTACTCTTCCTCACTTACTTTCGTAATCTTCCCTAGAACTGTCAGGCTTTCTCCAGTGCTGTTCTTAGTCCTGAAGTTTAACTAAAATACACTCAATTTGAATATCCTAACTTAAGTCAGTTTCACTCAAAGAAAACCCATGATAGACAACGACTTTTCTAATCTAACCGGGCCTTTCAACATTTATAACTGCTTTGAGATGCATTTATAACTGCTTTGAGATGTATTTTCATCCTCTTGAATCCTAAGTAGCAAATGTCTCTTCCATACACTGCAAGTAACTTCATGGCATTTAAACTCAGCCTAATGAGATAAATGGAGATTTTTAACCACACTTGCAGAATCCTGAGTCTACTCTTGTGTAATCACCAATCAGGTAGAGAAGATCCCATGGGGCTCTCTCGGCACCTGCATTCAGTGGTCTTGGGCCACTTCCTCACCCAGGAGAACTGATGCTATGAGCTGACAAAGGAGGAAACAAGGGTCAGGCTGGTTGGTGATCTGTTGCCATTTATTCCATTCTCCCCACGTGCCTGTTCCAATATGACTAAGACCCTCATTCCTGTCTCCTCCTGTCCCCCTTGCTAGTCTCTCTGTGCTCTAATTCACACTGGTAGCACAATCGATATATGAAAGCCCTTCTTCAGCTAAAGGCCAAAATACCACTTAGGGGTGTTTCTCCTCTCCTTAGTCCAATAACTTAATTAATATCCTAATTAACATCTTAATTCTACTTCTTAATATTAGTTATTTTGTATGGACACAGTAAGAGATACATTAAGCTTTTAGGGTGGCTCTCCTGGGGATATCTCACTATAGATCTCAGACTACAATTCTTAGGCCAGATGAATCTTTCGTAACCCTAGCAGGGTCCCAATCCAGCTGTTACTTTTTGGATTATGACATAATTTGTCCATGACCATGCTCTTAACTTATAGTTAAGTATTATGGTGCTTTGACCTGGCCCATTTCAATGCCAGGGTAGCTCACAGCTTGTCCTGGGTCTATCCAGTCCTTCCTTGAGACTCTGCTTTTGGGGAGCTAGGAAGTAAGGGCAATTGAGGCTTAAGTTGAGAGAACAGATGCCCAGGAGTGAATATGATTAAAAGTAAAAGTAAAGGCCCTTCTGTTGATCATCGATTTGCTCGAGCGGGCCCAGTAACATCTCCATTGGAGACTTTGTTGTTACTGTGTTTGGCATATCGAATACGTCACGGGGAGCTTGCCAGGCTCTGCCGTGCGGGCGAGATACTCTCGGTAGCTTGCCGGGCTCTCCGAGAGGGACGGAGGAATCGAACTCGGGTCGGCCATGTTGGCTGCGTGCAAGGCAAACGCCTTACTGCTGTACTATCGCTCAATTAACTACAAAGTTACAAAATCATAGCATTAACTGTCTTCCTGTGTATATACAAAAAGGACTTTGCTCTAAATTAACTATGCAAAGGACTTCAAGAGAAGACAAAAGCAATATTTACAAATTAACAGAGTCTGATTAGGAGATAAAGATGATTGACTGGTGGGGAAGCAGAGCACAAAGAAAGGGGTTACAAATAAACACAGAGGAATGGGAGTACTGTGATGAGAGTAACCAAAAAAACCTAAGCTCCCCGTGGCAAGGCAGAAAGAACAAACCAATGTTATCCTAGATACTCTAATAGTATTCTGAATATAAAATTTGAAAAGATAACCCCAGTGAAGATTTTTCTCATCCCCAAGCTAACTTTGATTGTTCTTATTATATGCAATTAAGAGACAGGAAAAAATAGTGTTATGGCAAAAGTAAATAAGTTACAGAAACACATTGTAAAATTATCAGAGATGTTTTAACATTTATGGATTGCTTTTCCTAAAACAAAAAGGAAAATTTGTCAAAAACTAAAATTTAGGGTATTTCTAAAATTAGTATATTCCTCGAGCGGGTCCAGTGGATTATCTGGATTATCGGTTATCTGGATTTTTTTCTGTTTCTCTTCTATCAAGCACTTTTACAAGATATAAGCTAATTTGAAGACAACAATCATGAATCTCCTTTTCTATTGTTATATAGCAGGTTCCTACAAAAAAAAGTGTCTTACATCAATACTCATTTATTACCTACTTCTGTAGGCCTAATGTACAGAAATGCCGTAACTAGAATCTTTTCTCAGAATGTATAAGGTGTCAATTGAGCTACATCTCATTACCCACCTAAGGGTTCTCTTTTAACTTCGTTTGGATTACTAGTAGATAATTCTTTGTAAGTATATAACCACAACTGCTTATTGACTAGGGATAGCTCTCCTCCTACAGATTTCCCTGAGACTGTCTTCAAGCTCTGCCAACAGGTTTTTCCAATATACCAAGTTACTTCTTCATGGAAAGAAGAGTCTTTCCCAAGTCTGCCGAAAGGAGACTTCTATAGTATGCTGCAATTACAGTAGTGTCAACACTGCATCATAAAACTGAAGCAATGGAAGCACTATCAAGAGTGTTACGCACACTCAAGTGGGGATTATTAAAACATCAAACACAAGAGGGTGGGAATCTTAGGATCATCCTTAGAATTCTGCAGTACAAATAATCCCTGCTATATAAATGCAAATTGCACCCAATGGAATGCCACTATTAGAGTCATGTGGATACTGACAAGTTTGCTAGTTTTCATTCACTTGTAAATGCATTTAAGCATTCATGACCTGATTCTGTGTCACATTATCTGCTAAACACATAAAATATCCTACCAGTGTTTCTACTTATATTTAAGAGGTATAGTTATAAATTCTTTTAAAAATTGTTATTCAGAGATAGTGAACAAGCGAAAGCAATGGCACATGCCAAGCCAATTCACAATGCTCCATCTGTCTATGCATTCACTTACTAATATGGACCTTTCTACTCATATCCAATCATCCAGCAATTCTGACCACTGATTTCTTTTAGCATCCATCTGGTCACCCATGCATACTGTATATCTTTAAAGCTTGGCTACTTAAAAACAAAACAGTTGTCTAATGTTTTTTCAGGGATGCTCCAACTGAAACTGGCCTTCTGGATCCCTGGATATGGTGGTTGCTCTCTGTCTAAGAGCAATAACTTTGGAAGACTACAAAATAGTCAACGGGTTTGTTGACTGAAGTGTCCTATGTAGAAAAGAGATATCCAGTCTTTCAGTATTGTTTCCCAGGTAATGTATCCCCAGGGGAAAAGTTGGGGGAATCTATACTTTTATTATAAGCATAGATTAAACTTTAAATTTAAAATATTCTAAAGAGTAAGAAGACAAATCTTCTTACTCTGCAGTAAGCAATGACATAAAAATGAAGTTTTATATTTGGGTACCATGTGCCTTTTAAACTTAGAAACTTTTTTTTGCCTTTTTGGGTCACACCAATCGATGCTCAGAGGTTACTCCTTTTACAGTCCTCTCTGGCTTTGACTGAATCTGATCTTCCTTCCTATGTGTATCACCCACATTTTCCAAGTGCTTCTCTATTTGTCATTTTATGACTTTAATCGAAGCTATGTGCTTGATCACTTCCTCTCCTTTTCTCTCTCTTTCACTCTCTCCTCTTCTTTTCTCTGAAAGTACAAGTTTACATCATTAAGAACTAAGGAACTAACCAGCTTTATGAGAACAAAAATGGCATTTCAAATCCCATTGCACTTTTTCACCTTTTGAAGAAAAATAAAAAACAATTTTCAGTTTCCATTGTTATACTTTGTTCACTTTCTTTGGCAATGGGATATGATCTGAAACCCATGCCATGAGAATCTAAGTGAAAAAGGTCTTCACTATAAACTCTCAGACACAATTTCTTTCTATTTTTAGACCACTACTTTTAGGACATGAGAAATAACTGGAGCTAGCAACTTATATTATTGTTATATTATTTCTACTGAGTTTTTTGTACTAAATTCTTGTCCTTATTTGTAGTCTTATCTGCCCAACAATTGAATGCTGCTTAAAAGATAACAATGAACTTACAAGACATTTGTGAAAGAGAATCAAAACGCCTATTTTAATCTCTTCTTTTCTGTGTATGGTATGGTAGCTCATAAAATAGTAGGCAGAAATAGTTACCATTTTGAAATTATAAAAATAAGTCCATGCTTACCTGATTATTAGGTAAGTTCATTTAGATGGAAATTGTAATCATTCCCAACTTCCAAAATTATCATTAGTAGAGCAGAAAACCTCCTGAGAGTTTGATAATGACAATAAGCAATCAATTACCCTTTTTTTCATGAAACACTAAATAATGAAACTCCTAAATCAGGACATATAAAAGTCCTTAAAAGTTTATATTTTGTAATGCCAGTTTGTTAGAAATATTGGGAACAAAGACAGAAAGTCAGCTTTTTAACTGCTTTTATTTATAAATATTTTAAGAATGCAGAAAAACTTGGTCAAAATCACCAATAATTAATTTTTCTCAGATATCATATAGTTTATGGGAAAATCTCAATCTGCGGACAGTACATAAATTTTTTTATAATTTGAGCATTCTGGGAAGACTTCAAGTTATTTTTCACATATACATGTAATATATGCACATATCATATACTTTATGTAAACTATATACATATTATATATGCTCCCCCAGTAAATTGCGTAGATGGCACATCAAAAATATATATTTGTAAATTTAATCTCTTAAAAATATTTAGATCAATCAATACCTGTTCTTTTATATAAATATTCAATATACTTCCTCTAATAAGGGCTGCACCAAAGGTAGACAGAGAATATAGAGGAAATTGTCTGCCTTTGAGGCAGGGGGAATGTTGGCATTGGCGGGGAGGGAACTGGGGACATTGGTGGTAGAAAATGTGCACTGGTGGAGGAATGGGTGTTTGATTATTGTATGACTGAAACTCAAATATGAAAGCTTTGTAACTGTATCTCACTGTGATTCGATTTTAAAAAAAGGGGGGGGGAGACGGGGGCTGTAAGTCTGGTAAGTGTGGAGAAAACAGAATAGCATGTACAGGGCCCTGGACTCAATCCCTGGTACCACACACACATACACACACACACACACACACACACACACACACACACACACAATATTTTCCTGCAATTACCTGTATTGCTTTCTTGTGTCATGTCCAATTGCATTCGTCTCCCAAATTTTTGTAGCCAGAACTCTAACCGTATTCAAAAACAGAATAAAATTCAGCTGAAAAAGAAAGTAATGATATTATTAAATTTACTCTGTAAATGTTTACCAAAACTTACATAAGTTTAATTTCTTTGTACTCAAAGACTGAAAATTACCCATCCCATAAATATGAATTCATTAAAATGTTTGAAAGCTATTGATATTTGTTTTGCCTTTTTGGGTCACACCCAGCGATGCTCAGGGGTCACTCCTGGCTCTGCACTCAGGAATTACTTCTGGAGGTGCTTAGGGGACCATATGGGATGCCCGGGATCAAACCCAGGCAAATGCCCTACCTGCTGTGCTATCACTCTGGCCCCAAAGCTAGTGATTTTTAAACTGACTTCATAAAACTACAAATAAATAGAATGTTTCAACTGCGCTGGAAGTTAGAAACACCAGAGGATGATGTGTCAGGATCCATAGGGAGTTCTGAAACCAAAGTTCAGAGGAAGCCTTAAGGCAAACTGGCAATATAAACACTAACAGTTCTCATATAAATGTAACCAACTGCTTTTTAAAAATTTAATTGCAAGTTTATGCCTCTATTTTAAGAAGAATGATTGCTTGGATAATGTTGTTTGGAGAACACTGTATATCTTATAGTGTATGATAAATACTGAATGATGTATATAAGGTTTGCAAGATTCTATTTAGGGAAGATGGAGCAATAGTACAACAGGAAGAGTATTTTGTTTGCCTTAGACATGGTCAACCCAAGTTGGATTCCTGGCACCCTTATGATCCCTTGAGCCCTGCCAGGAGTGCTCCCTAAGCAAAAGTCAGGAATAAACCCTTAGCATCACAAGTGACTCTCCCTCCAAAAAAATGATACTACATAGAAAAAGACTCTCAATAAGCAAACTGGCATATAAAGATTCCTCAAAAAATAAGGTGTGGAAATACTGCATAATCCAGATATTATACCTAATGGTAATTATTCAAAGGATGCCAGTATGTGAATTGGAAAAGGCATTCAATATGCATCTTATATGCATGAAGACATTATTTGCGGTGTCAAAATTTTGAAACAATCTAAATGTCTAATAGATAAAGCTATATATACATATTTATATATATATATATAGAGAGAGAGAGAGAGAAAGTGGCTCAGTAGTAATGAGTTCACCTGTGTGAGACCTCAAGTTTAATACCTGGCACTGAAAAATAAGTAGATACAAGATGTGGTAATATAATCAATGAAATCTTAAGCTATAAATAATGCAGTTTTGCCATTTTTAACAGTATGGATTGACCTTGAATGGATTCATTATGCTAAATGATATAAATCAGAAAGAAAAAGACAAATTTTGTATGATTTCACATATGTGGAATGTAAGGAAATAATGCAATTAAGAAAGCAAAACAAAAATAAGATCTTTGATACAGAGTACAGATTGAGGGTGGTTACCTGAGATGAAGGGGGCTTAGGAGTCAGTGAAGTAAACAAGAGAGATGTGTGGGAACTAGTTACACAGTGTTGTTAACTAGTGAAAGGAAATATTTAGTGATAATCACAATGAATATATATATATATATATATATATATATATATATATATAGGTGCTCGATTGCAATGCTGCACAGCTGGATGGAAACTACATGTTTTTATAAGCTAATATAACTTATAACATGGGAAGATGCCATTGTTGACAACATTGACGAGGAATACAATCGACTGGTTCAGCACCTCCATGAATGTGCGAGGAATGCCAAGAGAGAGATAGCCACAAAAAGTCGCCTATCTTCAAAAACTCTTGAGCTAATTCGCCAGCGTGGTTTGGCGCATGCCTCAGGCAACCGCAAGCTAACGTCCGAGCTTGCAAAGCAGTGCAGAGATGCGATCAAGGAAGACCTCAAAGAGAGAAGAGCAGAAGTACTGGTAGATGCGGCAGAAGCTGGGAAAAGTATTCATAACGCCCACCTGTCCTTCGCCAACTATAAGACCAAGATGACGGCCCTCCGACGTCCTGATGGATCCATCACATCCTCCAGAACGGCAATGGAGAAGATTATCCATGACTTCTACTCAAATCTCTTCGATAGCCATGTCCACTTGCCGACATACCAAATCCCACAGGATGGATATGTCGTTCCCAACATTCTCCCTTCCGAAATCCGACACGCCATTTCGTCGCTAAAGAAACAAACAGCACCTGGCCCAGACAAGGTCAGACCTGAACACCTGAAGAACCTGCCGTCAGTACTCATCAATACACTGGCTCGGCTCTTCACTTGCTACCTCTCTGAATGCAAGGTTCCGTCCCAGTGGAAAACCAGCAGGACCGTACTACTGTTCAAGAAGGGAGAGATCCATGACATTGGCAACTATCGCCCGATCTGCCTATTGTCTGTCATCTACAAGTTGTTCACTCGAGTCATCCTGAATAGGATTGGCAGAACACTAGATGAAGGACAACCATGTGAGCAAGCAGGGTTCCGCAAAGGATTCAGCACCATCGACCATATCCACACGATAACCAAGCTCATTGAGGTTTCTCGGGAGTTCAAGATGCCGCTCTGCTTAACGTTCATTGATTTAAAGAAGGCCTTTGATTCTGTTGAGACGGAAGCGGTCATTGAAGCCCTAGCCAATCAGGGCATTCAAGCCCAATACATCAGGATCCTCCGTGAGCTGTATTGCGGATTCACTACCAGGATCTCACCATTCTACAAAGAAGTGATCGTTGATGTCAAGAGAGGGGTGCGGCAGGTTGATACCATTTCACCGAAACTCTTCAGTGCCACCCTCGAGAACATCATGCGACGACTGGAATGGGAAGGAATGGGAGTGAAGATAGACGGTCGGCAACTACACCACCTCCGCTTTGCTGATGACATTGTTTTAATAACACCAAATATCAGCCAAGCGGCACAAATGCTGGCCGACTTTGACCGTGAGTGTGGAAAGGTAGGACTACAGCTGAATCTTACGAAGACAATGTTTATGAGAAACAGCCTTGTTCCTGACGCCCCATTCGCTCTCAATGGAACGACCATCTTCGAATGCAACAGCTATGTGTACCTAGGTCGAGAGGTCAACATGACAAATGACCTGGCACCCGAGCTGTGCAGGAGGAAGAGAGTGGCTTGGAACGCCTTCAAGAACGTCGAAGAAATAGCTAAGAGGACGAAGAACCTCCGGCTCCGGGCACATCTCTTTGATTCCACTGTTCTTCCTGCATTAACATATGCCTCAGAGACCTGGGCCCTACGCAAACAAGATGAGAATGCCATTCAGGTCTCCCAAAGAAGAATAGAAAGAGCTATGCTTGGAATATCACGTTTCACTCAAATGAGAGAACGAATCCGGAGTTCTGACATCCGTCGACGATCAAGGATCAGGGACGCTGTCTCATTTGCCAAGATGTCGAAAATCAGATGGGCTGGTCACGTAATGAGATTTAAAGACGACCGTTGGACTAGAGCTGTTACTGATTGGATTCCACGGGATGTCAAGAGACCGCGTGGCCGCCCACCTACCAGATGGTCAGACTTCTTCGTCAAGATCATAAACGATCGGTTTGAGGCCCTTCATGTTCCTGGAGCGAACAGATGCCATTGGGCTACACTAGCATGCGACAGGGACAAATGGAGACGTTACTGGCGCCCGCTCGAGCAAATCGACGACTAACGGGAAGTTAAGTGATTAAGTGATTAATATAACTTTAATAAAATTTTACTTTAAAGAAATAAAGAAGATCTGGAAAGATAGTACAGGGATTATCACTCTAGCCTTGCACACTTGCAACCCTGGATTGATTGATTTTTTTAACATCCTGAGCACCCCCAGGAGTGATTTTTGAGCAAAGAGCCAGCAGAAAGTCTTAAGCACTTCTAGGTGTGACTCGAAACCTAAAAAAAATTTAATTTTTTAAAAAAGAAATAAATAAAAGATAAGTTCAAAGTGTAGCTAATTTCAATGAATTTGAAATTTTATAAGTGTGAGTGTCACCCGAGAGAATGAAGCTCTGACTTTAAAGCAGGAAGGAGGAGGTCTTGATGCCCTCTATTAATGAGGGCTTCAGAGATGAGTGAAGAAATACAAAACACAAAAGGGAAAAGATCTCAGGTCTTGGGGGATAATCATCTAAAGGTGGGGTGGATGCCTGGAGCCCCTGGACTCCTTCTTTCAGGGATACGTCTGCTGGTACTTAGGGCAAATGGAAATATCCATCATCAAGTGTTTGGGCAAAATGGAAGAGTGGACTTGTGTCAATGCCAAAGCAAGAGACAGAAGAAAGGATACATCATGTCCTGAATTCTAGCTGATGACTTATAGTTTGGGGGTGTTTTTTCCTTTTTGGCAGGGCATGGGTTGTTTTGGAATGACACCTGGAATCGGTCAGGGCTTACTCCTGGCTCTTACTCAGGAATCACTCTTGGTGGGATCTGGGGACCCTATGGGGTGCTGGGGATCAAACTTGATTTGGGAGTGTGCAAGATAAGCGACTTAACCTCTGTTCCATCACCAACTTATTTTGCTGGGAATTCAGTCACTTGGAATTCAGAAAATTTGGGCTACTAGATGGTTTGTGTGCTACAGCCTCCAAACCAGATGATCCCCTGCTATCACCCAGCCTCTCTCACCTCCGACCACCACCTTTTTTGCCACCCCACCATAGACTAGTACCCTGTGGGCACCATTTACCAGTTTCACATCTTTTTATAGGAATTAGGTTTAAAGTGTGAGCCCAATACCTGGAGGAAGAAGAAAGATGTGTTGTGGGCTCCTGGAGCAAGGATGCTTTTAGGTCCATAAGAGCTTCCTTTCACTGATAGTCTCTGAATGCTCACATGAATAAGTGATGGGCATTTTTATCATGTCTATTTATTATGGATGGAGAAACCTTGCGATCTGATTTAGACTGATTTGACTTAGGTTGCCCAGAGATCAGCTAGAGTTTGAACCAGATCTATAAAAATGTCTTAAAAATTCTTAGCGGTGACTTTATACCTCCTTTTTAGAATGATAAAAAAATGCAAAACATGAGAGCTGAGGTTTTCCATTCAATCCTCACCCTTGACACTAGCTTGATATACAAAGAATATATGCATATATATTTTTGGTAAAAGACAGAGAGTTACAGGAGTGCTACTTTCTTAATGGTCAGATTTATTTCATTTCCCACTAATTCGTTGCTTCCAAAGACAAAGGATTTTGCTCCCAAAGTCCCTAGCAATAAATTCAAGCCGTATATCCTGCTGGCTCACCCTGTATGCAGTAAAGCTCTTTCGAAACTTTTCTCAAAAGTAGTTGCCAGAGTGACTGGCTTTCAGGATATTAGGCAGTAAACCTTGCTAAGGAATAGACACATGCAAAAAGTGTGGATTATTTTTATAACTAGATAAGTTTTTACACAACACACCTATCATAAACTTTCTCCCTGCTACCTTCTAGACAGAATTCTATAGGCGATGTCTGGGTATGGAATACTCTTAATTTCTTGGGGAAAGTATGCCATATTAAGGCTTTAGGCAATGTTTTATAATGGATAACAATAATTTTTTCTCTCTTTTAAGTTCCTCGCTTTTAATTCCTCTTTATTGCTTCTCCTGATCTATTACAGTGAGATCAAAATGTTCAAGTAGAGATATGATAGCATGGATGAAAAAGAAAAAGTTTTAGCATCTTCTAACTACTTAAACATTTAACACTCAGAAATATTTTGAAGTCCTGGAATTGTCCCCAATGTATGAGTTGATCCAGTGTTATACATGTACTTTCTACTTGGGTTTCAGTGTCAGCCTCAAATAAGGAACTGATTTCAAACCTACTCAACCCCCAAATCATTGCTATAATGTAAGACTTTCTTAAGTCTTTTAGAACAGTGACAGAAAAACTTTCTCTGAGTTTTAGTAGCACTTTAAGTCTTCATCTTTTTAAAACACTATACTTTAAAAAAAAAAACTTACCCCAATGGCTGCTAAGATTGGGGCCTGATAAATCCATTTGATGTCTCCAGCACTAAGTTCCCAGCACCTAAGACATGAAAAAGAACTTGAGGTAATGGAAATAGACAATGAAAACTGAGTAGACTTTTAAGTGTTTTAATTTATTTTTTAATTTCAGGCTTTTGATTTAAACAGAAAAAAATCTATTCATAATATTCTCTTTAGGGTAATTAGTATCAAACAAACAAACACTATCCTCCCAGTTTTTCATCAATTTGCTACAGTGGGCCCAGTAATGTCTCCATTTTGAGACTTGTTGTTACTATGTTTGGCATACTGAATACATCACAGGTAGCTTGCCAGGCTTCGGTAGCGAGCCGGGCTCTCTGAGCGGGGCGGAGGAATAGAACTCGGCTCGGTCAGGCTGGCTGCACACAAACGCCCTACCACTGTGCTATTGCTCCAGCCTATTATAAGTATTAGTAAATTACTTTTATAGTGACAAGACAAAACTCATTTTCAGGGCCACAAAAAAATCAGCATTCTAAATATGACATGATTAATACTTTATTCTTATTATCACTGGAATATGATATAATAAAACTGTTCATAAGGAAGATCCTCTATGAAATTACATCAATCTGTTTTATAATTCAGTAAGTTCTAGAGGACAATAATGAAAATAATGCAACTTTTTCTTCTTTTTGGATCACACCCACTGGTGTTCAGGGTCTACTCCTGGTTCTTCACTCTGTACTCAGGAATTACCCCTGTCAGTGCTCAGGGGCCCATATGGGATGCCTGGGATCGAACCCAAGTCAGTTACTTGCAAGTAAAATGTCCTAACCACTATACTATTGCTCTGGCACCACAAATCATTCTTAATTAAAGAGGCCCTCCCGTTGGTCGTCGATTTGCTCGAGCGGGCCCAGTAACATCTCCATTGGAGACTTTGTTGTTACTGTGTCTGGCATATCGGATACTCTCGGTAGCTTGCCGGGCTCTCCGAGAGGGGCGGAGGAATCGAACTCAGGTCAGCCATGTTGGCCGCTTGTAAGGCGAACGCCCTACCCGCTGTGCTATCGCTCCAGCCCTAATTAAAGAGATGCAATATAAAACTAACAAAAATACAAGTAATTCTTGTTGGTAGAAGCATAGTAAAATGCTGAATGTAAATGATGTTTAGCCATATATATCTAAATTATCTAGTAGAACATAACTGAATAGTACTATAAATATTTCTTGGCTATGCATTAATTTATAAGCTATTTCAGTATTATTTCAGTCCAGTTTGGGTTGGAGTGATAGCACAGCAGGTAGAGCGTTTGCCTTGCATGAGGCCGACCCGGGTTCAATTTCTCCATTCCTCTCAGAGAGTCCGGTATCCTGCCCACACGGCAGAGCCTGGCAAGCTACCTATGGCATATTCAATATGCCAAAAACAGTAACAAGTCACAATGGAGACATTACTGGTGCCCGCTTGAGCAAATCGATGAACAATGGGAGGACAGTGCTACAGTGCTACATTTCAGTGTTCATTTTACTAAACATAAACATGTGAGTATTATTTTCAATCAGTTGTGACATTCTACTGATTAATTAAAATATTTGACAGACATTCATTTAATATTGCCTAAGATCCATGTTTTTTTCCTCAAACAAAACCTGGCATTGATTAAAAGTAGGTAAATGATATCTTACAAAGAAATTTTAGGATTATAATAATTATTAAATTCTAGGTGACAAAATTACCCCCAATTACTATTTAATTAATGCACAAGTAATGCTATTTTGACTACTTTATAGAACTAAAACATTTCAGTACACTCCTAGTGAATATATCTTTTTTAAAGTTTAATTTTTTAATATAGGAATACATTCTAATTTCAAAATTCAATCTACATTAAAGAATAGATACAGAATGATCTCAGTCCTCCCCATATTCTCGCCTACCTCCACCCTTACATAGATGACATCTGTTATTATATATGTTCCAATGTTTTCTGTGTGCAATAAACATATGCAAATATTATAATCTTATTTTTACACTATCTTACAAAAATGTGGTGCATATACTGAAACTTTTTTTTACTTTTTACTGAATCACTGTGAGATAGATAGATTCTTACAAAGCTATTCATGATTAGAGTTCAGTCATACAGTATCCCAACACTCATCCCTCCACCAGTGTACATTTCCCAGCACCAGTGTAGTGTCTTCAGGCTCCCTCCCACCATCCCACATCATCAGCCTGCTTCTATCTCTATGGCAGGCACTTTTCTTCTCTCTCTCTCTCTCTCTCTCTATCTATCTATCTATTTCTCTCTCCCCACCCCTTTTGGATATTGTGGTTTGCAATACAGACACTAAAAGGTTATCAGATTATCAAGTATATCCCTTTACCTACTTTTAACACTCAGTTCTTGTCCAGCATAATAATTTCCAGCTATTATCGTCGTACTGGTCCCTTCTCTGTCTTACCTACCCTCCGACCCACACACACTTGTGGTTGATTCCCAACATTGAACAGTCCCCCTAGTTCATTTTCCCTAACCATGGTTATTAGTGTTCTACTATATATATATATATCACATGTGAATGCAGTCATTCTATATCTGCCTCTCTCCTTCTGACTTATTTCACTCAGCATTATACACTCCATGTCCATCATCCATTTATAGGCAAATTTCATAACTCCATTTTTCCTAACAGCTGCATAGTATTCCACTGTGTAGCTATGCCATAACTTTGTTATTCATTCTAAAACTTTAACTATTTATGTGTATATGTGCATATATGTATATATATGTGTGTATATATAAATCTATATGTGTGTGTGCGCATGTGTGTATTGGTTTTATTTTGTTTTGTGTGGTCTCACCCAGCTGTTTTCAGAGCTTACTCCTGGTTCAGTGCTCAGGGATCCTGACATCTCAGGGGACCATATAAGGGTGTTGGGGATCAAATTTGTGTCAGCCGTGTGCAAGGCAAGTGCCTCACCCGCTGTACTATACCTGCAGCCTCTAACAGTTTTAATGTTTTTTGGAGCTACACTCAGCAGTGCTCAGAGCTTATTTCAGGCTATGTGTTCAGTGATTACTTTTGGCAAAGCTTATGGATCATATGGGATGTGGGAATCAAACCTAGATGGGCCACAGACAAGGCAAGCACCCTACCACTCTACAATCTCTCCAGTCTCCCTAACGATAACATTTAAAATGTGTTTCCATATCAGTATGAAGGGAGATCAATAGGCACAGCTTTTCACTGGGAAGATCTACCAAATTAAATTACCCTAATCAACAGCTGGGCTGGAGTGATAGCACAGCGGTAGGACATTTGCCTGCGCACAGCCAGCCCAACCGAGCCAGGTTCGATTCCTCCGCCCCTCTAGGAGAGACCGGCAAGCTACCGAGAGTATCTCGCCTGCATGGCAAAGCCTAGCTTTACTTGTGATGTATTCAATATGCCAAACACATTAACAACAAGTGTCACAATGGAGACGTTACTGGGCCAGCTCGAGCAAAACAATGAACAATGGGAGGACAGTGACAGTGACAATCAACTGCTATGCCAAAATGTAATCCAGGTTCCGTCACACAGAATTCTGCAAACTCAAAGGAGAAAAACATGAATATCGAAGAATGAGAAATTTTATAGCTGAACATTATTGAGCACTCCCCACTCATTATTAAAGCACATATATTTTGCGTGATTAAACCAATAAAAATAAAAGCTTGTATGACTGAGTTGTATAGAACATCTAACACCTATAAAGGCATTCTACTGTAAAGTGGCATATAGTATATAAAAATAAATTGAACATTGATTTCACCTACTACAGAGCTCCTAGACTTCTTGATTTTTTTCTTTTCGGTTTTGACTTTTGGTAATATTTTAACTGTCTTCTTTCTTTGCTTCAGTGACATTCTCTCCTGTTGTCTCCGAACACACTGGAATTTAACTGCACAATTTCTAGCTCTGCGAAATACTTGTATTTAAAATTAGGTCAAAACTAACCATCTCAAACTTCTGTAAACCTGGGAAGGAAATAGTAAGTGCATTGTTCTACCAGAAAGAACAATATACTATTAGAAATTGTTGCATAGAAAACTGGTAAAAGTTTGGTCTCTAATCTGTTGTTGGACATCTAGTTTGATTCCAAATCTTAGCTATTAGACTAATGTATCATGAAGATGATATACGTGTATATATATCCACAATGAAATACTAAATAGCTGTAAGAAACGGTGAAATCAGGCAATTCACTGCTACATGGATAGAACTGGAAAACATGGTAAATGAAGTTAGCGAGAAGAATAAACACATATGATATTTAAAATAACTGGATGAAAAATAAAATGGTTTAAAAAGGGGGTGACTTTGACCCCAGAGTATTGGGAGGAGAAGGAAAGAAATCAAGTGGCTGAGGGGAGAAAAGATAGATGAGAAGCAAATCCGAGACAAGATTCAAGGGGATTCAGGTATATTGATAGAATTAAGGAATGACAGAGTAAAAACTCCAAACCACAGAGTCAGCAACACTGAAATAATGAAACCCAAACTTTAACAACCAAGCATAAAAAGGTACCTGTCAAAGTACCTACTGGGGTTGAGGGTAGAAGAGGGAACCCTAGGAGAAGTGGTAGAGAGAAGTTGTCACCAGTGACAGGAATTGGTTCTGAGACATTGTATACCTAATGCTCAACTACGAATAAATTTATAAATCACTGTACATTAATAAATAATTTTTAAAGTCTTGTCTCTATCACTAGTAAGAGAAGCTAAGAGTGGAGGAAGTGAAGAAGCCTTGAGTGCTATGCAGATTTCCTAGGATTGCTTTTTTCATTGTGGGCTCCATCCTTTGGGCTACCATCTCTTCTCCTTTGAATGAACTGGGAGAAGGCAATGCAGTATACTGTGAGGTGTTTTTGTTTTTGTGTGAAAAAGAAAAGAAACTACTAACTTTTTAGGCTTATTTGTCCCATATAAATAATTCAGTTATCTTGTACTACATTAGTCAAATAACACTTCTGAATCTGAAGAAATTTTACAAGTAAAAAATGACTGTATTCTATGAAATTTAGAATATCTTCTAAAGCTGAGTGTGAACAATTCACCTCTGAGTGTCTAAGACATAGCTAACATGTGAATATAGATGGAAAGATGGAAACTGAGTTCTAGTTTTGAAAGGTCAGATTGGAAAAAGTTTAATCACATATGTAACAGACATAAGAAGAGACCCTGCTCGAGGTAAAGGTAAAGGCCCTCCCGTTGATCGTCGATTTGCTCGAGCGGTAGCTTGCCGGGCTCTCCGAGAGGGGCGGAGGAATCGAACTCGGGTCGGCCATGTTGGCCGCGTGTTAGGCGAACGCCCTACCCGCTGTGCTATCGCTCCAGCCCGAGAAGAGACCCTATCCATCCTTTTGGAGTTGCTCCAAGAACCAGAGAGATAGCTCAATGGGGCTGAGTGTGTGCTTAGCTTACAGGAGATGTGTGAGATTTGACAATGACACCACATTCCCACAGCATGACTAGGAGTAACCCTCCTAAGCTCTGCTGGGTGGGATACAACAGGTAGGACACTTGCCTTGCACATTGATCTCCAAAACCCCATATCATCCCCTGTGCATGATCAGGAGTGACCCCTGAGTATATAGCCAGGAGTAGAGCCCTGAGAAACACCGGGTGTGCTCCCCAAATAAATAAAAAGTGAAGAGTTTATTCCCTGTAATAAAGAAATTAATATATGCTACAGAGAAATAACATATTTGAACTATTTTGTTTTGTACATCAATTCAACTTTCTTAGAGCAGCTATTAGTCAAATGCCCTACCCACTGTGCTCTCTCCAGCTCCAGTCAATGTATTTTTTAAAATGTTTGTGCCTAAAGTATTCTTAATTGTATTTCATATATTTTCTGTGAAAAGACTTCAGAAATTAATAATGGAATTAATTCATGGTTCTTAATTTATTATTTAATTGTGATTATTAAGAAAAAGAGCAAGAGAACTAAGAAAATAGTTATCTAATTCAATTAAATATATTTGCTTCTTTTCCTCAAGGTCTGGAATATATGTTAAATAAACAAATGAATGAGTCGAAATTCTGTACCATGGTAGCTGAAAGTCTTCAAAAAATATGATATGAATCTCTGACATTGATTGCATTCATCTCTAAAATGAGAACACTGAACCAGAAAATACTTAAGGTCCTACGATCTTAAAATTCCATATCTAAGTTACACAGAACTCATTTTAAGATATAATCAATGTAGAATGTCTTGATATAATTTTATTGACTCAACTTTCATCTTCTCCCAGAAATCAAATAACAGATTCTGTCATGCACTTCCAATATGATTGTGCAAATATAACAATAAAGTTAACAGTGTAGATATAATTAACCCTCAATTGCTAACAAATCCAAATGACATAAAAAAATATAACCAAGCCAGTAAGCTTTAGTAGAGGAAATTTGTTTAATTGGATAGTTCAGGGGAAGAAGTAGGAATTTGCCCAATTTATCATTTTAGTATAACTGACAGGTTCCTTATGAATTCAGGTGTTCACATAGTGTGCATTTTTTTCACTGAAGAGAATAGAAATTATTTTTGAAGGCTATGTAGTAGCTCAAATCAAATTTATAGGCTCAAATTTAAAATGACATTCAGATGGTCAGTAGGCACATAAAAAATTCTCAGTATTACTTATCAAGGAAATATGTAAATCAATTTGAGAATAAAATATCAGCTCATTCCAGTGAAAATGACCTAGACCCAAAAGTCTCTTAAAAGGCTCAACAAAATTGGGAATGGGTGACTTCCCCCCATGTTCTTGTGTTTCTGGCAGCTTGGCAATCACACCCACAAACTTCCTCTGGCTCCGTATAATCTCACTAACACCCATGATCCAGAAACTCAGCAATAAATCTCTCAGAAAAGAGCACAGAACAACAAGCCATAGAGATGCCTCCAGACCCCTGTCGGGGCAACCCAGAGGGAGGCAGGTGAGTTCTCCTCCCCGCCCCAGTGGAGCCCTGGCAGTCAAAAACCTCCAGAACTCACAATCACTGCCAAGTTTATGTTCATGGCCACTTTCCACAAGCTGGATGAACCTCACCCATGAGTCAATCTGCTGTATTAATTTAATATTTTAAATCTTAGAATTCTTGGAGCAAATGCAGCCACACGACATTCCATACTTTACACCACTGATATACCAAGTGTAGCACACCACATTTGATGGGATTTAAAGTACAAGACAACCAATCTTAGGAATATATATATATATATATATATATAGAGAGAGAGAGAGAGAGAGAGAGAGATCTTTATATATATAAACACACAAGGATCAACCTTTAACAACATGCCAGTAATTTCTTATTGAAGGGCTTAATGGCTCTTGGGTGAAATACAATAATCTTCACATACTTTCTTCTAAGGAAACTTTTCTTGGATCATTTTTAGCTGATTATTCATAACAAACAATATAAAATGAATTACTTCAGTTCTTTGGGGGCAGGATTCGGGGTACAGGATGGAAACATTCAAAATATGGTGGTGGGAAAGTGTAATGGAGGTGAAATTGGTGTTTGAATATTAAATATATTTAATTATAAATTGATTAAACATAATCAATTATTGTGAACGACTTTATAAAAATTAAATTTAAAAGTCTAGTAAAAGTAAATATTGGCACAGGTATGGGAAAAAAAAGAACTCTCAGACACTATTGGTGGGCACGTAGGTTGGTCAAATATATTTTAAATTCATTTCATGAGTTGTGGCCTTAAAACAGCATAGAATAAGGTCTATTTTTTCTGTTCTTTGAGTCTTTTCGGTTTAGCCTCTACCTGTGTAATAGATAACTTGCTGGTAATGTATCAGAAGCAACCATTATATCAAGAGACTCTTTCCACATCTATCTCTAAAAGATAATTTCATAAGAACAGCAGCAAATGTAAATTCTAAGCAGGTATATGGAGGCTGAGAAAAATCTGAGGCTCTCACTGCTTATCTTCCTTCACTCACCTCGCATTGGCCAGAGTTGCTCGTGCCATAGCCCAGGCTGCAACAAATACTGCAGGGAACCCTGAAATCAGAAAAGGATTCAGAGACCCTGATATTAAGGGGTTTTTTTATACCAAACATAAGAATAGACTTTTACATAATTCCCCTTGGAAATCCAAATGCCCCTTCTCTCCCCTCCCCACCCAGGATATGGCTCAGTGGTAGAGCACTCGACTTGCATGTGTGATGCCTGGATTCCATCTCTGGCACTACAAAACCAACAGACAAATTAAACAGATCCTCAGAGTGAAATTCTAATGGCTATAATCAGATTTGATCTAAGTGGGCATATACACACATAAAATGTACTATTTGTGGTATTTTTCAGTTATGGGAGGACAATAATATCTAATAGCTTTATCTGTGTTTGATGAATAATAACTATTATCACTGGGCTCAGTAAACTTAGGTATACGTCCATAATAGCCCTATGGGAGGATTTTCTATTTTATAGAATGAGTTAATTCTGCATTTGTTTGCTTTGGTTTTTTTTTTTTTTTTTTTTGGTGGGGGAGCAGTGCTTACTTCTGGCTTTGTACTCAGGGATCACTTCTGATAGAACTCGGGGAACCCTGTGTGGTATACCAGGCAAGTCAGACATATGCAAAGCAAATGTTTTATCTGCTATTTGGCCCCTGAGCATTTTTTTTAATGAATCAGCATGAGATGCAGTTACAGACTTACAGACTTTCGTGATTACATTTCAATCATACAATGATCGAGCATCCATCCCTCCACCAGTACCCATTCTCCACCACCAGGGTTCCCAGTATTCCTCCCGCCACTCCCACACCTTCCCCCACCCTTAAGTATTTTAAGTTAGATTTGCCATCTTAAACTCTTAAGAGGGTAGAACTAGATAAATAGTACAGGCAGTAAGGTGCTTGCCCTGCATGCAGTTATCCAGTTTCACTAGTCCCCATGCATCACCAGAAATGACCCCTGAATGTATTGACAGAAGTAGCCCCTGAGCACTGCCAGGTATGAACAAACAAAAAAGGGTAATACAATCACTTTGTTCTATTATTAGCCATAATTACAAGCAATTATATTTGTAATATACTATCACAAGGTGAAAGAGAGAAGCATGAAAAATGCAATAAAAAAGTCTAATTAATTTTCATCTTGTCAATTACTTAAAAGGGCCAGATACCCTGATATTATGAGTTTCCCAAAGTCTAATGATGAAGGTTGGCAAGATTTTCATTAGAAGGATATAGACTCAGGTCATAATTGGAGGAGCAGATGTTCAACAACAATTTAGAAGAGGCAATACTGTTGCATTCCACTTTCGTTCCTACCATTTGTTTCCAAGGAGTAAAGCCAAAGATGAAATCATGAGTAACTGTGGAGAGACTCTTATTTTTTTTAATTGAAACTGTTTTGTCCTAAAAGTAGAAAAGACATTTTGATCCGTTTAACCTCTCCTCTCCCTTTTGTATTTGCTCACATTGGCTCAAGATAGAAATATTAGCATGCATTAATAGCTAAGGAGAGGCAGATGCCTAGGTTAGTCTGATTATTTCAAGGTTAGATGTTTTGCAGTGAGAGTCTTTGGGAGAAGGGAGAGAAGTGGCAGGAATAAAGCTCAGAGCCTCACACATGCAAGACAAGTGCTCTACCACTGAGCTATGGTCCCCAGCCCAGTGAGTCTTTTTTAAAAATTTAAGATACAAAGTAAATTCAATTGTCTCATTCTGAAAGACATAGCTAAATCATTTGTAAAATAACATCAACACAGAGGCTATAAATTTCTTTTAGAATTTTCACAAGACTTAAGAATATAAATAAAAGGTAGAAAGCTTAGAAATAGAAAAAATTTAAGATGAAAGTATTGCTTAATTGGAACATTCACAATAGACCTGAGCATAAAGGTTTTGAATATATGTGGCCAAAAGTGTATTCTCTTCCACTTCCACCAAATAATTCCCTCAAAAATTTGACTTAAGAACAGTAATAGTGAGTTTTAGAATATTTGTTATCACTGAGATTATAACCTTGATTTCTATTAATGAAAACTAAAAAAGAAAAGAGTGGTGAAAATAAGATAGAAGAGATGATTTCCAGAAAAAGATATAGTGTTAATAACAGGTGTGACATAAAGACTTAAAATCAATAATCCAGTATAAAAAGTAAGGTGGTCAGACTTCTTTGTCAAGACCTTGAATGAACGGTTTGAGGCTCTTCATGTTCCTGAAGCGAGCAGACGCCATTGGGTTACACTAGCATGTGACAGGGACAAATGGAAATGTTACTGGTGCCCACTCAAACGAATCGATGAGTAATTGGATGTCAAGTGACAAGTGATCAAAAAGTAATTTGGGAAATGTACACTAGTAAAGGGATGAGTGTTAGGATATTGTATAACTGAAACCCAACCATGACAAACTTCGTAACTGTGTATCTCCTGGTGATTCAATAAAAACAAATAAATAAAAGGTAAATAAGGAGACATAGATGCCTTACCCCAGCCTATCAAGGTGAATCCCCACAGATATTTGGAATCCGAAAAGAAAGCCACAAAGATTAAACTATGCAAGTAGAGACCTTCCACCAAGATCCAATAGTAGTTGGTAGCCAGGAAGTAAATAAACATCACAACAGCAATCTTGCACCCAACCTGTGACAAACAAAGCAAAATTTCATCATTTTAGAGCTAATTGTACTAGATGTCCAACATTAGGATACTAAAAATCAGTTCTTTCATTTCTTTATCATAATACATCTCCTGCAAATAAGAAGTCCAAGACTTTTGAAAGAGACCAGAACAGAGTTATTTGACTATGTCATCTTTAAAAAATATATGCATGAATTTTATTTTTGACATAAGGTTCTTTTAATCTATATGTTATCAGTTATCCTTAATTTTTCCTATCATAAACAAATAATAGATGATCATTAGAGGAAATACTAAAAATACAAAAAAATCACAAAATAGAAATATGTTCCATTACTATATGGTGAATTTGTTTTCTTTTGGTCTTTTATATGTGGCAGTTTTGCTGATCAGGGCCAATCTCAGATAACATAGAGCAGTTCATTTATAGAGTTCTATGCTTAACTAACACAATATCACTTCCATTCTCTCTATTACATAAGAAAAGTCATAAAGTCAGTCCAGAATCAGGACCTGAAAGAACTACAAAGTTACAGGGCAAAGGGCAAATATACAGAAAGATAATATTTAGCACCAACTAGGTAATTGATGCCCTTGACCTAATTTCTACATATCTTGCTTCTGTGATGACGATGTTTCTAATTATCTTGATTATTGGGTTATTTTATTTACTAAACAGAGCAGAGATCTGCTTCAAAGCAGAGTCAATTTCTATGATATCTTAAATTGCAACAAGTCTGACTCTACAATAAAGAATTAAATAGCATTTTTTTCTTTATTTCTTTATTTTTTAATTTTTATTAGTGAAACACCATGAGGTACAGTTGTAGACTTACAAATTTTTGTGCTTGAGTTTCAATTATAAAATGAGCTAGTACCCATCCCTACACCAGTGCCCATTTTCCACCACCACTGATCCCAGTATCCCTCCAACCGCCATTCCCTCCATCCCACCCTGCCTCTGTGGCAGAGCATTCCCTTTTGTTCTCTCTCTCAATAAAAAAAAGAAATAGCGTTGACTCTCAGATCAATGTTTTTAAACCTTTGCAAGTGGTCTTTCTGCTTTTGAAAGTGATGAGACATGATAACTACCTCAGTCACACATCAAATGTGATTTCATTCATGTGTTTTGTGAAGTTTCTATTCCAGAATATTCTTGAGGTAAGAACCCAAGCACGATTAATAATCTGAAATGAGTGATTAGGCATAAAAATTGAGTACAGAAGTGAGATTAGTAAATACCAGATAGTGGATTATTTAACAGCTCAACCAAAAAAAAATTAACACAGATTTAGTGGACTACAAACGTTCCTGTTCATAATACAAATAATTACTGAGATAAATAAAAACACTTACATACTGTGACCTGTCCACGGAAGATGCCTCAATGGAGCTCTGTAGGTCATCCTGCAATATCAGAGACTGGAGCTCCTTGACGCCTATATGAGCATGGACCACTCTGTCCTTGACAAAGATGCTTACAGCCCTCAGCATGAAGGACACAAATAAGTGCATGTGGATATAATTCCTGGTGCAATGTAATCGTCTATACAGAGAAAATATTCAGTATTTTGATTCGCAACTGATTTGAAATGCAAAAAATATAAACAAATTAGCCCAAGTTCCTTCCCCAAAAAGAAAAATACTGTATACCTAAACAAAAGGTAAGGTAAAGGCCCTCCCGTTGATCGTCGATTTGCTCGAGCGGGCCCAGTAACGTCTCCATTGGAGACTTTGTTGTTACTGTGTCTGGCATATCGAATACTCTCGGTAGCTTGCCGGGCTCTCCGAGAGGGGCGGAGGAATCGAACAAAAACAAAAACTTATTATTATTTACTTCCTAGAGGAATAACTGGAATCAAAAACTAAAAGGAAATGGAGTGATACAGCATGGCATAAGGTATTACTTTAATGTCTCCTCTTTTGAATTCCTTAAATTTTCATGAATTTCCTTACATAAATTTAGGTTTAGAACACTCTTCCTCTCATTTTTTTTTCAGTATTTTGGCTTTTGATTGTTTTCAGTGCCAGGAATCAAACCTTACCCAAGTGCTCTATTGCTGACTTACAATTTCAGCCCTTCTAAACTAAATCATAGCATACCTCAAACCATATACTATAGTCTTCTTAGCTTTTTGAATCACAAACCAGCTGAATCACGAATATAAATGTCCTATATATGTGATTTGCATTTCACCCATATAATGATGTTCAATATTATGTATGACTTAAATTAAGTTGAATTAAATTGGACAAGTTTAAATGGGTAAAAAGTAAACTACAAGACCAATCAATCCTAATTCTTCTTATATAATATTATAATAATGTGAGAGATTATGTAAAATAAAATTTTCCCAGTGGCATCAAAATTATTTGGAAAAACTAACTTCACCATGAATAAAAAATTTTGAGTTCATTCGGTTCTGTTTTAATATCACTTGAAAGGCAAATACAATGGATGGCAGAGCTTTTGGAAAGGAACATTTAACTTGTTCAAATGCTTTAACTTTTCAAACAGCAGCAAAAAAAAATCCTGAATTTTAAGAAATTCTGAATATTTTGAAACATAAATGGCCAGTAACAAATAATATAGTAACAAAATTAAACTAAATTCAAAAATTGCATTTTGGGGAAAAATATGTCCATCCATTCACAGATCATGAAACCTCTGTGTTTTGAATGGATACAAAACAGAATCTTATCATGGAGAAAGTCATCTGAAGTAACCAAATGTGAGACTTACTCACCGGAAGTAACCAATGATGAGAATAGCCACAGCCAGGGAACCAAAGGAGATAGAGTACCCAATGGTGTACATGACATAGAGGCGTTCAAAGAATTCTTGCTGAAGGGGAAGAGATTGAACAATAAAAGCAAGTTTGAACAAATAAGTCGCTGTAGATACACTGAAAAAATCATGCATTTCCCTGGTAGTAACACATTATCACATTCATATAACAGATATTACTCATCTGACCTTCCTTTCACTTCCTAAAGTCAGTTCAAGGTTAAAGATGCAATTAGACATTTCTAGTTGTGTAAGTTAGGCCATACTTAAATACTGAACTATTTACTTCATATACTCTCATTTTAATATTTTTCATTACATATTAATAGTTTACACAATGTACTTTCATTTAAAAAATTTTAATCATATATTTCATATAATAACTGATGCAAATCAAATATATGATACAGGATTATTTTAAGAGGAAACAAAATTTTTTAAATGTTGCTCTTGGAATTTTTTTCCAGTTCTCTTTAACTTTCTTACTGAACTATAATTTACATAAAATAACATGCACAAACCTTAAATAAGCAGATTGACAGGTTTTAACAAACCAAGTTCATAGCGACCCTTGCTAGTCAAAAATCTACCCACCATCCACCCCCGGGTAACTTCTCTTCCAATTTTTGTCACCACAAATTAGTTTCTCTGTTCTTATACTTCATGCATTTCTGGGTGCTTCATAGACTTCTTAAAATTATGTCCTGTATACTCTTTCCTTCAATATATTATTTATACTATTTCAATATTCACAAGTAAGTATATTTCAAGAATTATTTGTTCACTTTAAACCTTTTATTTTTAAATAATTATTAATACACAAAGAGAAGCAAAGAATAACAAAGTTTTCCTTATACTTTGTTTAATATCTTCTAATAATTATAACTTAAACAATCTGCTTAAAAACTGAAACTATAACTCTGATGTGAGTGCAATGTGTGCATTTATAGTTCGTGTTTTTCTGTCACATACATAAACTTCCATAACCATCTTTGCAATAAAGATGCAGAATTATTCCATTGCCACATATATCAATTTACAAATGAAAAATGTGTGCTATATAGGCACAATGGAATACTACTTAGTTATAAAAATTATTAAAATATATTTGTAGTCATTTTTATTAAATCCTCATGCAAAAATTCTAACATCTGAATCATCTTTCAGTTCTGTTAGATTTCAGGCAGGGACATGAAATCTAAAATATCTTTTAGGTTTTAACAAATTATGAACATATTTTAACAAATTATGAGATCTAATCATAATCTTTTAGTATCTGCTAGGCATTCTAGATAAAACAGCAATACAGATTTAATTAATAACCAGAAAAGGGGGAGGCCTCTTTCTATAAGGCATGCTGAATGGGAGGTTGGGTTACCCTATAATGAAATTTGTAGCTTTTCATTCTCAATCATGCCCTGGTTTTAGGTTTTTAAGAACAGAATCTAGTTTTCTCTAGCAGAACTTTGGAATCTATGCATCATCAGTTCTCAGTGGCCATTGCATGTGTTTTAGTGCATCAGACAACTGCTAGAATTTTACTCTCCAGCTCTAACCCGGCTTTTCTACTGCTGAGGATATTTCACCATTGCTCTTCACCAATCCTTAGCTCTTCTCTGTCTTACTTCAGATAAAGACCCACCCACCTCATGTCTTGGAGAAAGATCTTTCCTAGGTCTCTGTCTGCCCTCTGCCTTCTAGTTCATAAGTGTGTTTATTTCAGGGTTTTCTCTCTGCTTTCTGCCCTTGTGCCAGCTATCATCTGCAGCAGTCACATACTCAGCGAGGGCTCATGAGCCACAAGAACTCTCTCAGCATCTCTTTTCTGTGCCATAACTTCAGGCGAGGATATCTCCCTCTGTGAAGCCTGATTCACACTTGAGGTCACCTACACCCCTGAGTCCTCTGCCTCAAAGCACAGCAAAGAGAAAGGAGAGACTGGAAGGTGACTGAGGCTCTTTTTTTGGTTTTAATTCTTTTTTATATTTGGTAATAGCCTTCCCGTTTTGATAATTTTATCTAATTGCTTGTAAATAATAAAATACCAACTGAAAGTTTATAGCAGCTCACTAAGAATCTTCTTAAAGAGATAGTATGTGTTTGAAAGGAAGAAAATTAAGAAAGGAAATTATCATTGTTGTGCAAAAATCAGGCAAAGAAATCTTTTAACTCATCACTTCTCCATCTTCTCTCATCCTCCAGCCCCCCCCCCCCCGGCAAAAATCAAGTATTAAAAATATGTCCAATGTTAGGAGAGTTTATGCATTCATCTTATAGTGTGCTGGAAACAGCAATGTTGAGGAATCTGGGAATCACAGCTCTGTTTTAGACCCATCAGCTTCTTCACTTCGACCAATGTTTAATCTCTGGTTCTAAGATAACTTACATTGTATAAAATAAAGATGACATTTTCAAAGACCATAGGATGTACTTCTTTCTTCTATTATAATACAACTTGAATCTTTCATATATTAATTACATCACCTACTGTCAAATCTTATGAGATAAAAATACATCTCTAAATACAAAGTTCCTCCAGAAATATTGAGCAGAATGAAATAGGTAACCAAGAAGAAATTGGGAACCATGTTTCTGACTACCTAATTGGATTTTGGGTTTTTTCTGGGCTTTTATTTCGCTGTTTTTTTTTTTTTGGTGGGGGTCACACCCAGCAAAGGGGTTACTCCTAGTTCTGCACTCAGGAATTACTCCTGGCGGTGCTCAGGAGAACATATGGGATGCTGGGGATAGAACCCAGGTCGGCCATGTGCAAAGCAAGTGTCCTATCCACTGTACTATTGCTCCAGCCCCCCAATTGGATTTTTATACATATTATACAATATATAATAACATAATGTAAACCTTAACACATTTTTAATTGTCTATAGATACATGTCAGCCAGGCAACTCTAATCTAAATAAAACACCAGACGTTTCAGTTCCTAGATTTTTCTTTGACCAGATATCTGAAGAGATTCCAATCTTGCTTTTATTTTTGATTATCTTTTGTCAGAATAAAAGATCTTCGGTATATTGTGGAAATCGTGAATTACATTAAAACTTTGCTTTGGTTTGCGTAGAGATTCAAACAAACACACAAAGACATTACCTTTCCTATGTTGACATCTGGCTGCAGAAAGCGAAGACAGTCTGAATAATTTGCCCATGTCTTATTTAAACTATGCATAAAATCCCATGTTCCATTGGGGTTGCAGTGTCGGAAAGCAAGTCCTATAAAGACATGGAAAAAACACTGAGACTGTTTCTTTAGCAACCATTACAAAATTTAAAATGAAATTGATGTTTCATATTAATCAGTTCAGAAAAGACTCAATACCTCTGTGATTGAAGTCATATATATAAGGAGGGCATGGGACAGCAGATATTTTCCCCACTGTTCCTCTGGGCCAACAAATGAGTCCATCCCATTCTGGGAAACAGTTTCCTTCTATTTAGAAAAAAAAATAAGCAAATAAGAAAAACTACATTTGGATTCAGGGAGTTTGTACAATCAATATACTCTGTGGCAAAGTGTAAAAAAAGTTATTTTGGAAAGTAGACTGGGGTAGAAATGACACAGAGTTACTAAAATTCACCAACCTTACCTTGTCAGAGGTCCATTAATAGGAAGACTTAATTTATAAATTAAATTTAATTATTAAAATTATATAATTTTAATTTTAAATTTAAATCACGATCACAATCATCCTGTTGTTCGTCGATTGCCTTGAGCAGGCACCAGTAATGTCGCCTTCATCCTAGCCCTAGCCCTGAGATTTTAAAAAGTGCCATATTCAAGGCTCTGTCAGGGTTAGGAGAATTAGACCCATCATTGTTACTGGTATTTGGCATATTTGGCATGACACGGGGAGTTTGCCAGACTCTGCCGTGTGGGCAGGTTACATTTGGTAGCCTGCCAGGTTGTCCAAAGCAAGAATGAGATAATAAGATGTTGCGCAGCCACAAATGCGGTCACATGCTTCCGGGAACTGGATTTTATAGTCTCTGGGTCTTGGCCGTTGATGGGATTACACGGCACCAGGGGGCAGTTGGTGGGTGTGACCCCTGCCTACTGGAAGATGGAGGATCTGGGTGGAGGATACTCAGCCCCGATCTCAGCTCCAGGACCCACATGCCTTTGCTCCTCTGCCAGTACCTTCATGTGTGTGGAGAGTGGTCTCAGCATAGTTGTGGCTGGTTCTGGAGGTCTTCGGCTGCCGAAGCCCTGGTCGGGGCGGGAGGGAAACTCAACCCGCCCCCCTCCAAAGGGCCCTGTCAAGAACAACCAGGTGTGGGGGCAGGAGACTCTGCACTGTTCTCTTCTGGGAGTTGGGTTTTATGAATATAAATTGTTAAATAATTTATATTATTTAAAAATTATATAATTTTATGTAAAAATTATATAACTTCTATAAAAATTTTGTCCAGCTCTCATAGTAGTAGATACATATCTATTCCAGAGTTTTCTACATTTTTTTTCTTTTTGGGTCAAATTGGGCGATGCACAAGGGTTACTCCTGGCTCTGCACTAAGGTATCACTCCTGGCAGTGCTCAAGAGACCGTATGGGATGCTGGGAATCGAACCCGGGTTGGCTGCGTGGAAGGCAAATGCCCAACCCCTACATTTCTTAAAGTGAGGGTCAGCAAGATAATTCACATGGTAGAGCACACATCTAGTATGCCTAACATCTGTTAGGCCCGAGGTTTGATCCCCAAACCATATGACCCTGAAACAATGTCAGTTGTGACCCTGGTGTGTCCTAGTACCACAGGTTCCAGCACTGAACTATTTGTTCCACACTACCAGGTATCAACAGGAGTGACTCCTGTAACAGAAAGAAACACACACACACACACACACACACACATAGATACAATAATGTCATGGGAATTTCTGAAGAGTTACATGATGGAATATAAGACTAAATACCAGTGACCGGTTTGTTCTGTAACTAACAATTTTTAAATGTGGAGAAAAATGTGATGATTTTCTTAATTTATTAATTTTTATATAGACAAGAGCCACAACTGTTTATACAATTCTAGAGCCATAAATGATTAAATAATAAAGCTCCAATCTTAACATCAATAATTTTAAAAATCAATTTTTATGTGAAAATTGTTATATCTCACCATGGGGTTATAAAGTCCTTGTCTAAGGATTTACTAAGCTCTTTGTTGGTAGTTGAGCCATCTGTGTTATTGTTTTTGTTTGTTGAGCTTAGCTGGCTTCTATTACTTTTCATTTAATTTGTGTGCCTACTGGAATTTCAGTACTGAAGAATTTCCAGCAGCCACACTGTCTAGAGATTTCAGATTCTGTGGTCTCGGTCAATGAGATGACATAGGGTCTGTGGGAGGTGGGTGTGGCTACTAGTGTTTCCGGAAGTACACAGGAGAAGGGGCTTATTTCTCCCTCATCATAGAAATACCTTTCCAGTTGCCAACAAAATACTATCCCCACACACGCACACAAGCATATAGTCAAATTTTCCTAAAACCTGTGCTTTCCACAGAATAATTTTCTGTAGATTATGTTTGTTTCTCTAATAGCTCTTCAGTGATGAAAACATATTCATAACAGGTTGAAAAGACTGAGGAATTCATTATCTCAAAGTTATAACAAAGAGACTTAATTAACATATTTTCTTTGATCATCATTTTACATCTTATGTGAGCAAATACTTTCATAATTTGGAAAAATATAATTAATTGCCTAATTAGTCAACAATCCTCTTTTTTAAATTAACGCTATTAATTACAGTCCCTGTAATCTTTTGTATGTGTCAGAACAAACTAATAACTGGTGAAACTTGTCAAACCGTGACACTTTCCTAGAACAGTCTTAAAATTCAGAGAATCCAGTTTTACCTATTTTAGGCTCTATAATTACTCATAACACAATATGGCTACATATTTGTGAAATGGAATCAGAATTAATGATATTTTGAGTTTTATTTTTTAATACATGAATAGAGCTTGGTATTTAATTTCCTATTATAGACAGTAGGAAAATTTTTATTGTCTTTTTATAATAGTTTCTCAGAAATAAAATAGGGGCCATTATATGTCCTTCATCTAGAAATGACAGTCGTCAATACTGTATCACAGGCTGGAGCGATAGCACAGCGGGTAGGGCATTCACCTTACAAGCGGCCAACATGGCCGACCCGAGTTCGATTCCTCCGCCCCTCTCGGAGAGCCCGGCAAGCTACCGAGAGTATTCGATATGCCAGACACAGTAACAACAAAGTCTCCAATGGAGACGTTACTGGGCCCGCTCGAGCAAATCGACGATCAACGGGAGGGCCTTTACCTTTACCTTTACCTATCATCTAATATATTTTTTGCCATGGCATTTTATTTTATTTTTTTTTTTTTTATTTTTGGGCCATGCTGGTTCAAGGGTTACTCTTGGCTCTGAAACCAGAAGTTACTCCTAATGATGTTCAGGAGACAATATGGGATGCCAGGGACTGAACACAGATCGGACGTGTGCAAGGCAAATGCCCAATCCACTGAACTATCTCTCCAACCCACTATGGTATTTTAAAGTAAATTGCAAATAGCATGAAACCTCAGCTGTAATATTTTGATTGTATGTTTCAATTTCAGGAAAATTTAAAACTTAAAATTTCTTAACTTGTAAGTTCAAATTGCCACTCTGATTTTCTTACATTTAGTGAAAGAAACTTCAGTTAACTTATTAATTTTTCACTGAAAGGTAGGTATTATCAAGTTTGACGATATTTAATACTTTGGGGTGGGGGGTGGAATGATGCTTAGGACACACCTGGCAATGCTCTAGGCTTACCTCTGGCTCTGTGCTCAGAGATTATTCCTAATGGTGCTGGCAGAACCAAATATGGTGCCGTGAATCCAACCAGGACAAACCACATGCAAGGCAAATGCCTTCACTTGCTTAACTCCTACACTACCCCTCCAGCCCTACACATATTTCATTTTATACTATCTGTGTGGAAAAACATATGCCCCAAAGTCTTTCCTTTTTAGATAATTCTCATCTACATATTTTACATGACTCACATCTTCACAGATGTTAACCCACACATCCAGATCATTTATTCTTTCTTTGTGTAAACTGTGCAGTATGTAATTGATTCATGCTTGTCTGCCTTTGCCCATCGTATTCCCTCTGCCTTCCTCCTCTGCACATTAATTCCCTTTTTTTCTTTTTTTGGTTTTTTGCTTGTTTGGGGACCACACTGGTCATGTTCTGGACTTACTCCAGGCTATAAGCTCAGGAACACTCCTGGTAGGCTTGGGGTACCATGTGGGGTGCCAGAGATCAAACCCAAGTTGGCCACATGCAAGGCAAGCCCCTGTCTGCTGTATTATCTCTCCAACCCATCCCTAATTCTATTTATTTAATTTTAAAATGAGATGATTATTTTCTATGAATTCTCCTCTAATCCTTCCCTAATCATTTTTTTCCAGTGGATTTACTGTTCTGATATCTCTATTTTTAAAGAGTAGAGATATCACTACTCTACTTTCACACTATCCGAAAGGTATCTAATTCCCTTACTTCATCATTATCTCTATGGATCAAAAAGCCAAGCCAATTAACCAAAGGGGACAGGCTGTAGCTCTCAATGCACCCTCCACTGTCATAACGCTGAGACTTCTATTCCTTCAAAATTATTTACTTTGTTAAAATAAATAATTATTAAAAAGTGCAGCAGGTAAGGGGTTTGCCTTGTACGTGGTCGATCTGGCCAACCCAGGTTCAATTCCGCCACCCCTCTCGGAGAGCCCGGCAAGCTACTGAGAGTATCTCACCCGCATGGCAAAGCCTGGCAAACTCCCCATGACGTATTCAATATGCCAAACACAGTAACAAGTGTCACAATGGAGACATTACTGGGCCCACTTGAGCAAATCGATGAACAAGGGGAGGACAGTGACAGTGACAGTGACAATTAAAAAGTCATATGCCCGTAAAAACACTCTCAAAAGAACATATTCACACCATTATTCATGGCTGCACTCAGTACAATAGCTAAGATATGGAATCAACCTATCTTCATTCCAACACCAGAGGAATGGATTTTGAAGATGTAGCATATATACACAATGAAATACTATGTAGCTTCAAGGAATGGTGAATTCATGCAATTTACTGAAACCCTATTGGAAGATATCATGTTGAGTTAGGTAAGCCAGACACAGGATGATCTCACTTATCTGTAGTACATAGAATACTGGATAAGGAAATGTAGTAAAAGAGAGATGCATAATTCATCCTTGACTTCAGTGTTGAGAGAGGAGAAGGAAAATAAGGAAAGAAATCAAATGGGGAATAAGAAAATGGGGAATAATGGGTTAACCGGCATCAGGCTTCAGCTATACAGATGATATGAATAAGTTGTGCATCCGTATACCCAAAATGCAGACTCAACAAAACTGAAAACATGAGATCCAAC